TTTATTATGGAGAAAAACATTTTCCAGAAACTCCTCAGCAGATTTCCCCTTAGGTCCCTTGGGCCAGGACTGAGTCATATGTCCATGCACTAGCAGCAAGGGAGCCTGTGGAATCAATATCCAAGATTTCAGCCTATATTGTGGGAGGTGGCTCTGCCAGCCAGGTAGAGGGAAGGAAAACGGTATTCAGATAGGCAACGGACACGCCACTGGAGAAATATTAATGCAATAAGCTCTGTGTAATGAAACTCCTCCACCTCCAAAGAGATGAATTATCATAAAACAGGTTTGCTAATCAGGTTATAACAAATCATCCCATTACAATAGGATGCTGTTTGCATCAGAGGTAGGAGAGAAGAGAACTGGAATCTCCCAGTTCTTTAGCCAATAAACTGTAAATACATTCCTTTTCCTCAGATCCTTAGTTAAATATCACAATCTCTTCCATCATCATGACTATCACAAGGAAGGAAAGGCAAGGAAGAAAAAGAAACTAGCCCTTGGGGGCTTTCGCACAGTTCTCTAAACACATTTCAGGCAAAAAAAACCTGAAGAGATTTAAAGAACAGAAATGGAGATCAAGCATTTACAAGTCCTTGCCTTCTTTCTTCTACTCTTCTTTGCTGTTTTTAAAGGATAATCTGCTTGTACCACCACCACCTGTTTCCAATTCTGGAAACAGCAGAGATATCCATCAATGCGGAATCACTTTTAAAAATTCTAGTACAATGGAAAACAATGCAGCCACTAAAACAGAGGTGGATCTGAATGGGCTACCATGGAAGCTGTCCAAGTAAACTGTTAAGGGAAAAAAGTGAAATGCAGAGCTATGTCTACATTACACAGTCATTTGTGTTTTAAAGAGGGGCTGTGATGGGGTTTTATAAATCTGTACAAGTGTACTCTATTTGTATGAAAATTTCTAGAAAAGTTATCTTAGGAATTGTGGATTCCCTCTGGGGAATAGAATTAGGCATCTGGGGCCAGAGACATTTTTTGTTTTATATTCTCTTTTTGGTATAGTCTGTTTTTATTCACCTTGTTATTTTGTTTTTTTTTGTGTGTGAGGAGATCAGCCCTGAGCTAACATCTGCCAATCCTCCTCTTTTTCTGCTGAGGAAGACTGGTCCTGGGCTAACATCCGTGCCCATCTTCCTCCACTTTATATGGGATGCTGCCACAGCATGGCTTGACAAGCGGTGCGTCGGTGCACGCCAGGGATCTGAACCTGCGAACCCCAGGCCGCCGAAGCGGAGTGCACGCACTTAACCGCTGAGCCACCAGGCCGGCCCCGCTTTTTTCATATTTTTAAATATAAGTCCCCAGTGCCTGCATCCTCAAAGCGAGACTAATATGCTAATACCGGCAAAATTTCATTAGCCCACTCAAGATACTTCCTTGTTTCCTCTTAGGACTTATGATTTCACTAATAATAGCAAAATAACTGGCCCCAGTATTCAGGATAGTAAGCATTTTTGTAACTCAAACTAACTTGATGACTTAGTTTATGTGATTACTTTTACAAAAACTCCCCACTGAAAGAGGGCTTTTGAATCCAATTTCCCAAGGAAGTAAAACCAAGTCATAAAAGATAGTTCTTAAAAAAATTTTATGAAACTAAGCTGGAATTGCCAAGCCATAAATAGGTTTTCAAATGAAAAATCCCAGAAAAAATAATGTATACTAACGTTACGTCGTTCTTATAGAACTCGTCACAAAATACTATCTCCTCAAGGGACCAACGCTATTGAAACATTCCTATTGAGAACTCAGTTTCCAAATGTATTGTGTGGGCAATGGTGTTTCCCATACAGGCTCCTCGCCAAGACCACCACAGATACAGACGATGGCAGTGTGTAATGGGGCACTCATACACCTATCCACGGCAGCCGGCCGAAGAGTCACAGAGCCCATAAAGTGACTGTTTGCATACTGCTCATGTGATTCCTGAGGGCCAGACTGTTTTTTGTGTGTGTGTGTGTGTGAGGAAGATCAGCCCTGAGCTAACATCCGATGCCAATCCTCCTCTTTTTGCTGAGGAAGATTGGCCCTGGGCTAACATCCGTGCCCATCTTCCTCTACTTTATATGTGGGACGCCACCACAGCATGGCTTGACAAGCAGTGCATCAGTCCATGCCCGGGATCCGAACCTGCGAACCCCCGGCTGCTGAAGCAGAGTGCACAAACTTAACTGCTACCCCACCAGGCCAGCCCCCAAGACTGTTTTATTTGTGATTTTCAGGTTTTAAAGTTTGGTTTTGCCCTTCAAAAATGGTTTCTGTAACAATTACAAAAAAGCAATAAGGCTATCTCCTTAAGGCTGAAGTTTCTCAGAAGCCAAAAAAGGACAGGACTACTTCCATGTAAAAAAATTTTTTGATGGTTGTAGGATATATTTTTAAATGAAGCAATGCTGAAATCAGATTACAAGATATATTTGAAATGCTTACATTTAATGAATTCTTAAAACATCAAAAATTGTTTGGTATTTGAACATGCACACGCCCCAGCGTCTCAGAAATTCCATTCCTAGGAACAAGTGCCCTTGTTGGGAGAGGGCATTCAAAATATTCATAGCAGCAAAATGCACAACAGAAAACAAAAACCACCGCCACCAGCCAAGATAACCCAATGGTCTACAGGCAACAGAATGGATATATATACACTGGGTGCATCTGTACAGTGGAATGAATTGAACCATAGCTACAAGAATTAAGATAGATAAATCTTAAAAGAAGCATGTCTAAGAAGAACACATGCAGTATGAATTCTACTTTGTAAAGATCAAACGCAGGGAAACTCTTGTTTAGGTACAAACATATAGGTGGTAAAACGACAGAGAAAAAGCAAGGGAACAGTTAACACCAACCTCACGACAGTATGACCTCTCTGGGGTAGGGAGGCTTGAGACGGAGGGAAATGCAGTCAGGGAAGAGGTCACAAGGTCAAGTTCGATTTCTTACCCTGGGTTTGAGGTGCAGGGGTGTTTCGTGTTATTTTTTAAATGGAACATCTTCCACGTGTAATATTTTACAATCTACAAAACATTTAAAAATAAAAACTATGGAATAAATTACACAGTAAAATAAATACGTGTATGTGTAAGTTATATGATAAATAACATCTTCTTTTAATCCTATTGCTCTATTTCTGGCTCTATACTTAACTCTTTGGGTAATAATGTTAAAATCTAAATTTGAGGCCCTACTTAAATTGTGATCTGGGCTCAAAGACCCTTAGGGCACCCCCTGCAACAAGTCCTGATTTAGTCTTCCTGGGTCATTACCCTCACTGGTTCACATTCAGGAATGTGAAGGATATAGTCAGGAGAGAGCTCCCAAATTTCCTCCAGGCTACAGAGTAACCCCCAGGCAGCCTGCAAACCATCCAGGTTTGCACTAGATAACCCAGTCCTTGATTAGTTGGAGTTGAGGAACCAGGAGGAGGAGGAGACGGGAGGGGCTGGCCAGCATTCAGAGGGCCTCTCCAGAAGAGCCTGTGAACCAGTGGCTGGCAAGAAGAGACCCCTTCCTCCACCCTTTGGAACAGCCTGGCACAGATGGCGGCTATAGTTGTTTTATAAGCAGTGCTCTAGCAGTTTCGGTGGCAATTTTCTCTTCATTCCAACCGAAACCGTGCAGGTCAATCTCTGCCAGCTGTTGCACTCACAATGCTATGAGGCTATTAAGATGTTTTGCTGTTAGGACAGCTAGCCCTCTTTTTTTTTTTTTTTGACAACAGAAATGTATCTTCAAGATGCAAAGGATCAAATGTCAAGCAGGTAACTCTTCCAACTTCCCATACCCCTCTTCCACCCCTACCTGTTTTGGTTTCTAAAGGCTGGGGATCGTTATCAACAGTAAGCCCGCCTTCCTGACATTTTAGACAAACTTTTTTTTTTGTGTGAGGAGATCAGCCCTGTGCTACCATCTGCCAATCTTCCTCTTTTTTTGCTGAGGAAGACTGGCCCTGGGCTAACATCCGTGCCCATCTTCCTCCACTTTATATGGGACGCCGCCACAGCGTGGCTTGCCAAGGAGTGCATCAGTGCGCGCCCGGGATCCGAACCGGCAAACCCCGGGCCGCCGCAGTGGAGCGCGCACTTAACCACTTGCGCCACCGGGCCAGCCCCTAGACAAACTTTTGATACAGAACTAATTGGAAAAAAGAATTACTTGAATTAATGTGTTCAAATATTTTAATGTCCAGGAAATGAAAGAAAGATTTCACCTATCTTGTAGCGATATATAGAAGTCTTTCATGACGTAGACACATAAAGCTGTAAATTGAATACGGATTTCCCATGAGACCAAGCAGCTCACACGGGCAGAGCTCAGGTGAAATGGAACCTTCCCCTCCCCACAGGGAGCCCTGCATCCGTCACCCCGGGGCGTCTGAGGACGGCCGGAGGAGCCTGATTCTTCAGAAGCACACTACGCTTCCCCACTGCTCTTGCCTCTTCCTCCTTCCGACCCAGCCCTCTTTCTCATGTTGGACTGATGGTGGCCGACACTGTCACACAAAGTCCATTTTACGGAGTCTGAAGCTTCCAGGGAAGGGAGGACTCAATGATACCACTTGTCAGAAGACTGGATGTTAAAGTGCAAAGTCAGATTCCAACTCAGTCTGGTGAGACCCAGGATTACTTTCCAATTGACAAAGAAGTGGGAGGAGAACTGGCTCTTTTCCAGCCAGTAGCCGGCACACTCAAACCCAGATGTTTGTTCATCTCTTAAATCACACATGTTGGATTTACATTTTTAAAGGACCACACAATAAGGAGTTTGGTGGTTCATTAGGAGTTTACGGAGTTTACCTAGAAACCTGCTGAGAAACGAGCAGGGATTTGGGCAAGCACAAAGACAACTATTAAGTTATTAGGAGCACAAAAATAATTTGTGTTTCTTTCAAGCATCTCACAGAATATTAACGACCACAAAGCTCTACAATACATATTTACACAGTCTGGTTGAAATGAGAGAGCAGTGAAGAGACTTACCACACCACACAACAAATTAGGGAGCAGACCAGGATCGGCAACCGGCTCACCCTCCTGCCCGAGAGGCATTTGAGTCTGGAGGCACGCAGGTTGACTATTCTAAGAGCACCTACTGTATGACTCACCCTGGACTTTGGAGATACTGCTCACATATCTCTGGGTATTCCCGTGTTTGTCTCAGAGAAACTCCACACCCTGCACTGGAACCAGTACAACTGCCAGCAATAATACACTGCATTCAACCCACTGCTGGACAAATGGGCTCTTTGTGTTGCCAGAAGAAAAGATACACATTCTGTATCTTTACAGGGAGGCAGACCAGGATGGAGTCCTGTTATCACACGTCTCAAGAGAACCTTGGAGGCCGTTCAGTCTGGCACTCCCAGTTAACCGCAGAGGAAATGGGCTGGATTCGACAAACTCTGGTTGGACAGAGCCAATGTAAAGCAGTAAACTGAGCACAGGAAACGCCATGGTGAACGAAGGCAGAGCAAGCAGTAAGCGGTCAGAGTGCCCAGGGAGGGGCAGTGGCTCCAAGACAGGGAGTGGAGTCAGGAGACTCTTCCCTCTGCTGCTTCATTCACGAGACAGATGCTCACTGGTGCCTCTGCGTGTCAGGCGCAGCGAGGCGTGCTGGAGCCCCCTGTCTAGTGTCGAGGGAACAATCACAGCCACTGATGAGTGCCATGAGAGGCGTAAATGGTGCTATAAAGGCAGCACTTGGGAGGGGCAGCCAAGTGGGAAGGAAGAGGGAAGAAAGAGACTTGTCAGTCAGGAGGTGCTTCAGGTAAAGTGAGTTCCGAACCAGTGAGCCAGACAGCAGTAAGGATTTGGAGGATGCAGTGCAAGGCAGAAGAACTGGGCCGGCAGAGAGGGATCAGACCTCCAATTAAATCATGCCAAAGTGTTTGCATTTTATCCGATAGGCCATGTGGCAGCTGCTAAAAGGATTACATCGATCAGATCCCTGTTTCAGACAAGGCCTTTGGAGAAAGCAGGAGAGAAAATGCATTTCAGTGGAGCAGACTGCAGACTGCTCTCTAGGGCAAGGAGGTGCTGAAGGATGGCGGTAGGGTGGTAGGGGGGAAGGAGGGCATAGCGTTCAAGGTCAACGAAGGAGGCAGCATCAAAAGGACATGACATCAAGTGGATGTGGGGTTAAGAGGGAGAGTCAAGGGAAACCCCACTTCTGTCTCATTTCTTCTGGTGGCCGATAAGATCATGCATAAGATGGGCAACTGCAGAGAGGCAGGAGGAGGAGGAGATTGGGGATAGAAGAGGATTCAGCTTCAGGCATGATGATTTGGAGGTTCCTGAGGGACATTTAAGCACAGCTGTCCAGACAAATGCTCAGAGAGAGAAACAGACTTGGAGCCCATCAGCGACAGTGCCTCGGGGCAATTTACTGAGGGGACATGCACGGACTTTAAGGTCAGGCAGACACGATCAAACCCCAGCTCTGCCATTTAGTAGCTGTATGACCTTGGGCAAGTAAATTAATCTTTTGAGAAGCTAGTCTCATCTGAGGAACTTCCTCCTGGAAATTAATGAGATCAGAAAAGGTCCTGATGTCATGCCAGACCCAGAAGACATTTAATATTTTTTCTTGCCCTTTTGTGATCATACGCTGCTTTGCATTTTAATAATTCCAGTACTAACCCCTGCAACAGATTACAAGCTTTCTTGCTGTCAGTCACTCGTCTTTAAATCCCTTTTAACCTTCCTTGTACGAACAGATTCTCAAATATTTGAACCGTTGTAGTCATATGAAAAACTCAGGCCAGAATGGCCCAGGAGACCAGGGGTTTCCTGCCCTTGATATTAAATAACCAATGCAAAGATCTCAAAATTGTTATGTGGTTTAAGTGGTACTGATTTAACTCTGTGTTGGGGGGTGTGATGGGGGAGAAAAGAGCAATGGGGTTTGGAAAAGACAAAGAATTTTGTCAGTCTAAGAAAGCCGAGTCAAAGTAACAGAACTTTACTTTTTGCGTAGGACTGTACTGTAGTATTAAGAGGAAGAGTGTTTACTAAAGTTAATATTGCATAGCCTCTATCCTCTGGCTCAGTTCAAGTAAAGGTCTTAAATGTTAAATAATAAATTCTAGCAAATAGATCTTTCCTTAAAGTGAATGTTAAATCAATAGCATACTTTTTATATAAGAAATATATACTTTCTTTGCTAGGCTCAGTTTGCTTGTTCTATTTATAACTCTTAAAATGAACATTTTAAAACTATAATAAGATTTAAAAATCAGACTGACCATTAAGGCATACAGAATTCAATTCCACATAGCCAAGCTTGCTCATTTTTCTTCTGGTTTTGCGTTCAACTTTGAGCTCCAATTTGTCTTGCCTATTTTTATGGCTGCCTTCTTAGTCTGAAAATATCCTGGTCACTGGGTATTTTATTTTATCTCCAACTTACTTGCTAAAAGACATTCACGATCACCTCTTCCTTCCTTCCTTCCTTCCCTGGTAGCCTCATATATTTCCACTCTTTCCTCATCAGCCCAGTTCAGCATATCTACTTCATGTTCTGTGTCTCAGTCATAAATATCTCAAAAAAATCCATTCAAGTTTCTAATATAAAATTATTTGACAAGTGCCTCAAAGCTCTCTATTCATTTGGCTCTTTTAATAATTTTGATTAAATGTAGAGAATGATTCAATTCAGAGCTACAGTCTTCAGGACTTGTTTTATTCCTGGCTGTCTTCAACCTGCTCACATGTGGTATGGCTGAAGCATGGCCAGTTTGAGAGGACACTGTGGTCCCTAAGTGCTGAGGAAGATGTACCCTCTCCCAAACATGTCTACTTTACCTGAGGTTCTTGCTGCTCCCAGATTGTGTGTACTCTGGATGGCTCCCACTAAACCCACAATACACCTGGCCATTCCTTTTAGTCAGCTTCTAAGATTCTGACTTTCACTGACATACAGACCCAAGATACCTCCCAATTCGTCCCTGCCGTGAATAGACTTGAATGTCCCAGACTTGAATAGGCTCAACCAATTTTCTGTGTGTCTATAAGAAACTCTCCTCTCTTGCTGCCAATAGGAGACAAAATGAAGGCAGGTAGATGGCCAGATTAGACGGCATCTGCCACTAAACCAGCAACATCCCCATGCCACCTGGCTCTGGATCTGCATTAGTTATCCCTCAGCACTAAGGAGACCCACACAGTCTGTGTGGGACACTACTGAGACATAATTCTTTCAATTTAAACATCACTTTGAAAGACACACACATACACACACGTCTAATTATACCACAACTCACATTAGAGGTGTTGTTTAAAATGAAGAGCATCATCACCATAATGCTTCAGCCAAAACTGCCTACGGCATCTACTCAAGGAGCAGGTTACATCTAGAAACAGTTTACCATAATGAGAGGATGGTTTTCTCACTATCACATTATGCTCCAGGGTTGACTTACTTTCTTCAAAACCCAGTTCAAGTTCTGTGACCTCGTGTGACCCAAAGCACTCTCCCTGCAAATTCAGGGTTAGCTACTTGCTTTACTAAGCCATTCTCTATTCTCTTCTCCCTCTGAACACTTTAGGTACCTTTTAAATTCTTCTCTTTCTTATGAAACATCCCATTTAATTCCTTCACCCAGAGGCCCTGACGTGAATCTCGGGTTTTAAATAGACAAGAACAGTTAGCTACTCACCTGCTGCATCAGAATCAACTGGGGCAGGAAGTCTTTTAAAAATAAAAAATTTCCCCAGTGAATTTGTACAATCCTTTGGAAGGACACTTTGTTCCCATCTATCCTTATTTAAATGACACATACCCCTTGACCCAACAATTTTGCTTTTAAAGAAATCTACCCATATATGGTCACAGAAAAAAGATGTACAAAAATACTCAGTACAGTATTACAAAGCAAAATAAACATGGGAAAAAAACCACCCTAGAAGGAATTTAAATTGTACATCAATAGGAGACTGGTTAAATAAATAACGGATTTATACATTTTGTGCAGAACACATTTCTATAAAGATATGTGAGGAACATAACAGTGCTTATCTCTGAGGATAACGATATGAGGTTGGAAGGAGGGACTTCATTCTTTGCCTATGCCCTTTAGTACTAGGGAATTTTTTTTCTATGAACTTGATCTACTAAACTCTTCACTTAACAAAGTTATTTAATCTTCGTTAAACAGAAAATAGAATGAGGCATAAATAGAAATTCTATAAGGCAGATATACATTAAAATGTGTTTGATCCAGCAGTTAATGATTTCATCATTAAACTTATTGTCTGAGTCTCAGAGGATCAGTTTTTTCCTCTAAGGCACCTGCCATATGTGTTACAGACTCTTCTTATAATCTAAGTGGCTCAATTTAACCACCCCCTTGTGCCGAACATGTGTTCACAACTTAAAGTTAGTTTTACTCTGGAAATTGGGGTGAGATTAGGAGGAGAGGAGAGAAGTCTACAACCTTTGCCAAAACCTCAAAAAGAAAGGGAAAAAAAAAAAAAAAAAA